GGTAAGAGGCTCGGCCCTTTGAAGAGAATTTTCCTTTTTTTTTTAATGACCCCTGGATAGCTTCAAATGGGTGCGAGTCTGGGAGGTGGTGGGAGGGAAAGGAAGAGAGGGAGGGAGGGAACCATGGAGGGGAGGAAAGAAGGCCCAGCCAAATCCACCAAACCGGATCGGCACCCCTTCCTGTACGTCCCTCAGCCGGAGACACCTATGGCGTGGAAGCTGGGAAGGGCAGCAGCGGATCGATCGCAAAGAGATTAAACCCAACATGAATGCTGGTCGGATTCTAACGCTCAGATGAAAATATCTGCTGGCTATATTAAAAAAAACCAACAATAGTAATATGGTTTGCTTCACCTCCAACTGAAACGGTGGCAGTCGTAGGTCACTCTTTATATAATGACAGAAATGATGATAAGTACTGCTAAACTGCTTTATTGCACTTTGAGTTCCTGGGGGTGTTTTTTAATCTTCTGATTAAAAGGTTTTTGAGGTCATTTAGAAATGGCTTTCGACGTGACAGCCGACCACCGGTCAGGGCGATGAAAGAGATTAGGGTGTTGGAATTGAAAGGAATGCACACCTCGTTACATTTCACATGACCCTCCAACACCGGATCCGACTCGTGACGTACACATCACCGGACCCGACTCGTGACGTACACATCTCTGCCTTTTCTGAGTCGGAAAAGCCACTCTCTCTCTCTCTCTTTTAAATTTTGAAATCTGCGCTACGGCGAAAGAGGAGAGTCTCCGGTTTGGAAGTCAGCTACCCTTCTGACGCAGCGTCCGCAGGGAGGCTCTTATCTCATGGGCATTTCTAATCTGCTATCATAGGCAGAAGTGCCAAAGCTGACGGTCTTCCTGCCGTCTGAAAGGAAACGCTGAATATTACTAGCTACACTTAATTTGATGATTAGGCAAGTTTGTCTTTTTTTGAAAATTATCCGGTTAAAATGGTTACTGCATGTGCTCTAACCCTGCATTAATTATGGTTTTTATGTATTTGTTTGTTCACTTTTTTATTTATTTGTTTGAATCATGTATATATATAGTGGTAAAATTCTGGTTCTGTTTTATGAAAATGTTTTCAGATCACACCACTGTCTTGAGAAGGTCACGTAAGTGGTAATCGGAGCACCAATAACTAGACTAATACCCTGTCGTCTCAAATCTTCAGTTGGGTGTGAATGAGGAGAAATCTGCCAGCCCCTTTTAGCTGCTTCGGGAATTTTCTTTGTCCGCTTTGGCTGTGTGGTGTCACAACCTCTGTCTTGAACATTTTCTGTTTCTGTCAGAAGTCACCTCTTCAAACTCCCCCCCCCCAAACCTTTCCCCCAGTTGGGTATGACGTCAACATTGCCTCAGCTACCCGCTCAGAAACCCTCAAGTTAATTGTGAGATAAACAGACAGATTAGAAAGGAGAGAAACGATTGAACTTGACGGAGTGATGAAGGCGGGCTTGGCGCGGCACTGCTTCCGCTCGAGGTCCACCTCGGGCTCGCTGGACCACGACGGCATAAAGACGTGGCCAAGTATCCCGAAAGGGAGGCGAGGGCCCGGCCCCCGCTTAAGTGGAGACCCAGAGGTGCGCTCAATCGTTTGTGCTCTGGTGCTTCCTGGCATCTTAATTCCATTAACATTTTTCAAATTGAAAGTCAGACGGTCCCTAGCGACGTTTCGTCAGCCCCTGGAAAAACATCTCTATCCCCTCCCCCGAGCAGTCAAAGTTGGCGGCCAGATTTATTAGAAGTGATAAGGGCTGTAATGACCCGTCGTCGATTCTTTGTCTAATTAAGGTGCTAAGGGGCTGCCAATTCGGTCAAGTTCATTTCCTGTTGCTCTTGTGGGGTGTGGGCGATCTTTACAACTCAGCTGTCGGGAAACCTGCTGGAGAATAGCTACGTGAACTTTTCCTCACTGCTTTTCATTGGATCTCTGGGGTCTGTTAAAGTCGGCTGTGCTTTCCTGTCCTGGTTGCGGTGACTGATCGTAGGTGTAGATGGGTCTTTCGATAATGCGCCATTAAACATCTAAAATGTACATTATAGGTACAGCCACGCATGCTGTGTATATTATATGGTACATTTAATGTCGGAAAACATCTGTCTGTCTCTGATATAGGACCATTTGTCAGGCTCTTAAAGGGACAATCAATCAGAATTACAGTGATTAAGTCGTCCTGAGAATGTAGATGTGTTCTAAGCCTGTGTTTCCCAACCTGGTCCTCAGGAACCCCCAGATGGTCCACATTTTTGCTCCCTCCCAGCTGCCTGGCAGACAGTCCACAGAAGCGTGGACCATCTGGGGGGTCTCCGAGGATCGGGTTGAGAAACGCTATTCTAACCTCCCCCCTCCCCCCCACAGCCCAGCAGAACCCCACCCCCGCTGTTCCGACACGGCAGCAGGAGATCACCGTTAACCGGCAGCAGCGCTATTTCCGCATCCCCTTCATCCGGCCAGCTGACCAATACAAGGACCCGCAGAACAAGAAGAAGGGCTGGTGGTACGCCCACTTCGACGGGCCCTGGATCGCGCGCCAGATGGAACTGCACCCCGACAAGCAGCCGATCCTGCTGGTAGCAGGTAAAAAGGAAGGAATCCCCCCCCCCAAAAAAAAAAATGGCCGCCATGATCATGATTACCCATAACACCTTGGTCTTACTCATTTAGCACTTCTAGACTGGGGCAATTCTGAGATGTTTTTTTAAAGGTGGGGGGTATAAGAGGGGCCATAACTCATACAGAGGGGCCAAACTTATCATTAGCCAATGATGTGTTTAGAATTGGTGAGTGACAAGGCAGGGGACTTTCTGGGGGCCAATCAGCTTTCAGCATTTTCCCTCTTTTTTTCCCACAAATGTCCATTGCCTGCTGACAATTTCAGCATTGCCTATTTGATTAGAATTTTTCTTTGCTCTGATCCTGCTCCTCCCCCTACTCTCATACAGGAAAGGATGACATGGAGATGTGCGAGCTGAGCCTTGAGGAGACGGGCCTGACCCGGAAGCGTGGCGCCGAGATCCTGCCCCGGCAGTTTGAGGAAATCTGGGAGCGCTGTGGTGGGATCCAGTACCTGCGGAGCGCCATCGAGAACAAGCAGGCCCGGCCCACGTACGCCACGGCCATGCTGCAGAACCTGCTCAAGTAGAACCGGTCTGCAAACGGCGAATAACGGACCTTTTGTTAATCGTTATTTTTATTGTTAATCACTTAGTTTTGATTTTTGCATTTTGCAGTGAACTTGTTCAGAGGAATCGGTAAAGTGTGGATCCTCTATTATACAAGATCTGACCTACGCTTAAATCTTACTGATTACTGAGGCCTTGAGACATTTCTAAGTTATTACTGTAATTAGCTACTGAGCTGTTCCTCTGAAAGTCAGTCTGCATAGTGTGCATTTTGAATTGTTTAATAAAAGAATATTAGCAAAGAATGTTCCCAAATGGTTTTTGATTTATCACAACGGTTGTTTTCACACCAAGATTGGGGATTCCTCTGATGCGTTGTGTATGAAAGATTGGGTATAGGTCAACATTTCACATTGACTCATCTCATCATCAAGGTGTGACTAAGTTATACCGAAATGGTTCTACACAAAGAATGACATTCGAAATCATATCAAAATGTAAAAGCTAATCTGTATGAGTCAGATACCATTTACCATCCATATAAATACAATTTGACTTAAAGGCATATCATTTAAAACATTTCATTTTTTGCCATTTTCTAACCATTATAATTCGTCTTAACAGAAATTAAGTGGCTTTTTACATTTATGTTACCACTTACTAAAAGAATTTAATTTACTGGAGCTTTAACTGTACTGATATAATTTCAGGTTTCTGAGGTAAATGTCAGACCTAATTGATGCATTGCGTAACTTTGAGTACCATAGTTTTAATGCATATTCTCCATCACTGAGGCTAGGAGACGATTTTTTTTTTTAAAAAATGCACATTTTATATTGGGGGGAAAACCATACATTAAAAACATATTCTGATATTTAATACAACAAATTAAGACTCGTGCTATATTGCACTACAGTAAAACTGGTCTAAGTCGCCGGCTTGTAACTCGTCAAGCAAGTCGACGCTCAAGCAAAAGTCCCGATTTTTCCTAATGATGTTTCCTTTAAAATTCCTTGTGTAACTCGCCGTTTGTCGTCAAATTCCCTTAGTCGTCACCTAAATCCCGGTCCCGAACAACACAAATGAATGGATTTTCCTACCTGTAAGTCGACACCCCAATCGCTGCATTCCCGCCGCCTGCTTGTCACCACGGCAATGTAGAAACGGGGAGTCCCCACCTATCGCACTAGTCGCTCCCTGGTCTTAAGTCTCGCGTGTATAGTGCGGTGTAGTAGAGGTATGGTGTTATATTTACTAGTCGGCAAAACGGCGAGATAGACATAAGTCGCCGAAGTGTCGACTTTATAAGTCGGCAAAACGGCGAGTTATATTTACTAGTCGACAAAACGGCGAGATAGACATAAGTCGCCGAAGTGTCGACTTAGGTGTATCTCGTCAATTCTCTAAGTCGTCACTTTTAAGCTGGTGTCGACTTAGACCGGTTTTACTGTATATTGCATCTTCTGTAATGTTCTAAGGTTAATAATAATAATTGATACCTTTATTGATCCCTGTGGGGAAATTCTCATTCACCCCAAGCCACAGAAAAGATATAGCTATTTATTTTGTGACATAAAAACTATTAACAGTAATGCAGTGTCTCCGGTTTAATTCTTTTTCGACTAACTGCCCTACATGAATCATACTTTCTGCATATAGTTTCTTTTTTCTTTTCCACCTGTCTCTGGTGTAGGAAACAACTTGTACAGTCCTGTATCACCGAGTGTTACACAGAACAGTAACAGTATGTTCTGTTTATCGGAAAAAAAATGTGTTAAGATTGCCTTTAAAACCTGTATATAACAATATGACCTGGTACAATTCAATTAGCAGTGATATTCGATTTCCTTAAAAGTTAGGATTGTACTTGGGAATTAGCAGTGTTTGCATTCTCTTATTCTAGATGCAAGAATTTTCACAACTAGGTGGGAAGTGAGAAAATATTAGAACACAATATACAAAGTATTTCTATAGGTTATAATGGCTTGCTTATTATTGTAGTCATTAAATACCTAATTAGTCACTGTTCATTCTTTACTTGCTTTTCCCATAATCTGAGACTGACTTGCACTCTCCTGGGAACCGTGAATATTCTGGCAGACAGGAGAAAAAGCAAGTGGATACATTTCAAACATCTGTCGTGCCCTAAAAAAGAAGAGAAAAATACAATAATTTGTATTACTAATAGACACTGATTAAAAACAATTTTTGTAACAGTTCAGAAATATCAAAATTAAATCACAATGACTTTAGTAGTCTGATGTTACTGTAGTTTTAGTTTAATTCTTAGTTGTGAAATTGACATGAGTTTACATTGTAAACACACAATGGTAATTTGATGTGTTTCTTTTTATAATCCAACATGAGCCTTTTAAAAACATTCAGCATATTGCATTCCAGGTACAATTGCATTTTTTCAATGTTCCACTAGCATGTTCAGATGCCTGATTTGGACTGTCACAACACTAACAGGACAGACAAGAATTGTGGGAAAACAGCATTAATATACCAGGTATGACTAACCAAACAGTATTTTTCATAAATAATGACACAATTGTTTATATTTGTACACATATTCAGACAAATATACAATATACAGATTCAGGAAGTTCATGTCATTTAGGGTCTTGTAGTGGTACTACCATATGTTAAGGTGCAGATAAAAATCTCATTGTGAGGTAAAGAATGAAAAAACTAATCTCAAGGCTGCACACATACTCCTTAGACAGCTAACACCCAGAGATCAAGTCATTCCAAAGCCAACTGCCAGTTCAGTGCATACATTCACGTTTCCTATTGACAGAGGTGGGCTCAACACATCTGTGGAACATTCCACTGCTCACTGGCTTTTCAGTTCGCAATCCTAGTAAGATATGGCTGGCCATAAGGTCAGAAACTAAAGAAAAACAAAAAAATCCCAGCGACAGATTCACACACGGATGAGCAGTCCATGTGGTGCCCTAGGAAAGCTTTACCACATAGCGCCCCCCACAGGAGGCAAAGTGAAATCAGCTTGCTAAGTCAGCGCCCCGACAGAAGATGGCGCCCTAGGCAGCCGCCTATGTTGCCTAATGGGTTGACCGAAATCTCGAGGCAATCTCGAGGTCTAACCAGAGGACAACATGAGACAAGGTATAGCAGTCATCACTTTTACAATTAAAATGATTTTATAATCACCGGAAGAATGTACCATCACGCACATTTGATGTGACTGAAAACTCGTTGTTGCACACATTATATCAATATAGAAACAAGAACAATTTAAAATGTAAATTATTTATTGTGTAGCTTTGGTCATGGAAACCAGAAAATGAGTCCAAGTGAATCAATATTAACTAAAAAGCGTAAGTTAGTATATATCCATATTATTTACTATTATTATACAGCAAAAACATCCAATAATTACAATATAATCGGCAATGATGTCAAGTCAGGTTAGGTTGATGGGCAGGCACTGGTACAGCACGTTGCCGCAGCCACCATACGATGAAACCCCTCAGGATCCCGGTTGGCGACCCGCCAAGGCCAACATGTGGTCCAGTCCCACTTTCCGGAAATGGCCGTCTATCTGCCACAGCCAGGTGTTACGTGGGCGTCCCCTTGGCCTGGTCCAGCCCCTCGGGTCCTCAGAAATGAGGATCCTGCGAGCCGGATCACCCTCAGGGAAACGCCGCATGGCCGTAGTGCCGTAAGGTAATGTGCCTCAATTGGGACTCCTTTAGCAGCGGCTCGTTCGACACAAAGTCAAACCAGCGGTACCCAAGGATTCTCCGAAGAGACACAGTACCGAAGGAGTCCAGTCCTCGTCTCAGGTCACTGGGTAGCGTCCATGTCTCACAGCCATACAGCAAGACAGGGAGAGTCAGGACTCTAAAGACTTAGACCTTCTTCCGCTTACAAAGATATCGGGAACGCCACGCACCCCTTTCCAGCGACCTCATGACCCCCCCCCATGCTCTCCCAATCCATCTGCTGACTTCATAGGAAGAATCACCAGAGACATGAATGTTGCTGCCCAGGTCAGTGAACCTCTGGATGAGGTCGGGATTCTCCCCGCAGACAGACACACTACTGACGGCTGTGCCCAAGAGGTCATTAAAGGCCTGGATCTTGGTTTTAATCCAGGACACTCGCAAGCCCAGACACTCAGACCCCTCGCTCAGTCTCTCGAGACCCCCGATCGGAGCCTCCACTGACTCCGCAAAGATCACAGCATCATTGGCAAAGTCAACATCAGTGAATTAATGCAAATCAATTTAATTACCTAATAATTACCTTCAATATATGAGATATACTATCTGGATATAACAATACTTTAATTTGTATTTCATTAATGTATATTAGTTTTATTTTTTAAAAAAGAAAACAATTTGCAAGTACTGTATAAGGTTTTTGTGGTTTAGTTAGAATTCATAGAGGATCCATCCATCCATCCATCTATTTTTCTGTACCCACTTGTCCTATACAGGGTGGTGGGGGGTCCAGAGAGAGGGCAGAGAACAGCCCAGGATGGGGTGCTAACCCATGGCAGGGCACACTCACACACCATGCACTCTCACACTCACACACCATTCACTCACACACCATGCACTCTCACACTCACACCTACGGGCAATTTGGTAACTCCAATGTTTTTGGACTGTGGGGGGAAACGGCGTACCTGGAAGAAACCACTCAGAGATTCTTTTATGAAAATGATATTCCCTCCTTTTTACATGCAACTGACATGTTTCATATTTATAAAGGATTGAACAGAACATCTGTATTTACAAATCTTAGGTAATACATAGCTAAAAAGGTTTTCAGAATTGATGTAGGACAGAAGCAAAAGTTTTTCCCCTTTCCACAATAGAGCAGAGATCCCAAAATAAAGCATGATTAAAGTTGAAGCATGATTCCCCCAAATGTCACTGCATATGGTTCCAGGAAGAAGAACAAAGAATCTGGCTGTTAGCCTTGGTCTCCATCCCACGTTCACTCAAGGAAAATTATGGGCTGAAACTAATTTCCACGTTTCAGTCATTGTATCATATACAATTATAAAATAATAAACATCCATGCTCGCCAAACACCCTCAAACGTAGTTTATGCTTGCAAGGTCACAAGCGAAGCAAATCGAAAGGTACAAAGTAACTCGATCACTGCTTTCAGTTTGCAGTCCAGCCGCATTTATCTTCAATCATGTTCTTCGAAAAAGGAATGTTAGCTTTAAGTTACGTTTTAAAAATGTAACAATTAACAGCAGCAACCCTGAGCATTTTCGTAAAAACTGAATATCCCCTCACTTTTATCTCATACTCCCCTGTACCATATTTTTTATATAGCATTTAACTCTGAAAACAAATTTACGAAATGCTGTTAAATATTTGTTTTTTTCATTCGAAAGTAGTTTATATGTTTCCAAGGTCCTCACGTGTTGTTCTCACAACTTTTCTTCCAGTTTAAAGACAAAAAAAAATCTCATTATCGGTTATGGCATTTCGGAATAAAACCTTAAATCTCTCTGGAGGTGATTTGGTTCGATGAAACGGTCCTTCGGTAACAAAATGACCTATTCTGCTGAGCCGTATCTTTGATTAACTGCAGTCAACCAGGGCAAAATATCTCTTTCATGAATGGGAATCGGTCGGGGATATTAATGAATTGTTCACATTTGCTGGACTCTGTGAACAAGATGGACAGAAAAGGTAAAACGATACTTAATTCCCGAACCTTGAACGAATCGATCAGACCAGAAAAGCCTTTACAGCTGTATTCGACAGAGGATTTGTGGACATGCTCTTACCTCAAAAGGGAAACATTGGCGGAAATCGTCCATTTCTGAATCTAACTTGTCTGGTCTTGTGGCATGTAGTGGCCGTGAGATCTGTGGATGTAATCTAAAATGATTATATGATATACATTCAAATATATCAAGATACTGAACGAGAATGGAATATACTATACATAATACAAAATATTCATTTTGACAAAATATTTGTAATTACATGACCACAAGAGGAAAAGTATAGAAATAATTTGGCTGTAGGGAGATATAATAATCAAAATTCTATAGCGGGAACTTGACCTGACAAACATAATATAATTTTGCATTTGCTGTGTCATATATTGGCAAGATTTACTGTTGCTCGGGGTCATTTCAGTTATTTAATTATGTTTGCATACTTTTTGCAGAAGTGAAATTGTTTTCCTCTATTGTCTCTCCTTATTCAAGAACAATTCCACTTAATCAGAAATGATAGCATCTGTTGACGTAGGAAATAGCATTCATAAATACGATAACTGGTTTATTTAACTTTTCCAGGGCTCTGCTCATACATTTTAATGCAAAAAACTTTAAAAACTTAAAAATTGTGTTAACAGTTTGAGTTCTAAGTGGATGGTACACGCCTCATATTGCCGTTGGGTCCTTAAGCAAGACCACCACCCCCGCTGTCTCTGAAGTTACAGTGATTGTAGCTTTATGGAGGTTTTGGCTGCTGAGTTAAACAAACCATTCAGGGCTTATTTGGATTAATCTGGGGCTTCATTCCAGGCTTGCGATGCATCCAGCTACCTGTACTATGACAAGAAAAGCACTGTAATCTATTCTAAGGTTCTTAGAGTGAGGAAGATGGGGAGTTATTTACCTCGATAGTGAACTGCGTGTCATCGACTGAACTCAAGGTGTCCTGCTCAGAGAGTCCGGTGAAGCCAGGCCCGGTGCTCGGGGTGCGGGTCAAGCTGGACACGCGAATCAGGGTACCATCGTCACTTTCAAAAAGCGGGTTTAACTTCACAGTGCGAGCAAATGCAAAAGGGCCATTTTTGTGTCTGTGGTACAGAAGAGACACGCGACCTACTGCTTTTTACATGTTCATGCGTGTTGCGGGGGGAAAAAAAGTGAATTTGAAATTGATAAGACAGCCGTGCTTACACAAAACTCACTGTCCTCCTGGTCTGGATGCATTTCCTGTTAATTAACAGCAAGATCCCAATCACGGCCAAGACCAATGCAAGGAAGCCAACAAGGCAGCTGATGATTAGAAATGGGTCAACAGGCAGCGAGACCAGCTCAGTGCAACGCTCTCCGTGAAAGTGCCAGTATCTACCAACAGGGCATCTAAGGATCGTTAAAGAAAAAGAGAAGAATGAGCGACATAAACAGGGAAGTCACTCAGCCATTTGTAAAGCACAGTACCAACCGCAACAAGCAAGATCGAATTCCCAATCCCGTCCTCGGGGGCCACAGATGGTTGCATTATTTAATTTTAGCTTTATTCACCCCCCAATGAATAGATAGACCTTTGTATTTAAATTACTAAGTTGTGCCCCCACCCAATATCAAACTCTCTGCTACGCTATTGGTTTCATGTGTGAAATGAAAATAAAATGACTTCCACGGCTTATTCGCAACTGAGGAAACGTTCTCTCCCTTAGACGCCCGGGTGAGTTGGGTAGGGCCTGGTGCCTTGCAGCCGGGGTACCTGCAGGTAGCGCCTCCTCCTGGTACGATGTGGCACTGCCCCCCGTTGAGGCAGTAGTCCGGCTGGAGGCTGCAGAGACTCCGACAGGGAGGCCCGTCCGGAGCGCCGTAGCCGGGCTCGCAAACGCACTCGGCCTCGCGGGTCAATGCGTTAACCGCACAGCGTGAGAACTCGCCGCAAGCCAGGAACCTGCAAGGGTCCGTCACCTCCGCTGGGGCCAGGAGGGAAGGTCACGTTAACTTTAATGACATTTCCCTACCCTCTCGTCCCTTCTGCTTAACGCACATGATGTTCCTCTCGCACCTGGCGGACGGCCAAAGTCATGACTCACTTCAATTAGGATATCCTGGCTTACACAGGCTTTTAACCTTGTAAAGTTTTTTGAAAGTGATCCAGCTTTGTTTAATTAAGATGGCAAACAGGGGCTGAGACATCGAGGCCATCCGCGCGTTACTGTTGACTCAGCTGACGTCCTGTCTTCTGGAATAATCCTTTCGAATCTGACTGTTCTGTAGATCACATACACTACACTGTCAGAGGTGAAGGCGGCCATCGGCTTTGCTGTCACCTGATCTACCTGACAGGTACAACTTACCAGACTCGACACCCGGGGACGTGTGCTCCACCTCGACGTCGAGGCGCTTGGGCACACCGCAGCAGAAGTTCGCGATGACACGATGGACCGCTTCTGTGACATTATACGGCCCAGACGTCTTCATTTCCCTGTTGAAGATCACGCTTCCGTTCCTGAAGCTGAGAATCTCGAGCTCCTTAAATCCAGTCACACTGGAATGCAGATATGGGAGCAACTGGAGTGAAAAGGAGAACGAGAAAAGTAAGAGCCAAAAGCAGCAGAGAGGCTGAGTTATATTCACTCTGTCCTTTCCTTGGCAATCTAACAGCACCCCTACTATTAAAGCAGTATAGAATTTTCTAGAATATTACCTATTATTTCAGAATTATTTCTGGATTAGAATGAAAGGTGGTAAATAAAATCATAAAACCTGAAATAAATCAATGATCGCTCTTCAGAGCTTTATAATGCTTGAATAAGTGCTATTCATGCTGTCGGATTACCTTCTTGAAAGTTTTAGGCTAAAAACTACAACTACAAATACTGTCATCATCCAGCGAGGTTAAAAGAGGATCAATGTAGTAGGTAATGTGCTTACAGCATATAATGGCTTTAAAATCTACCCCAACCGCAGATGCTCTTCACACAATATTTGTAGGTCTGGTTCCTAAAAGAGCACGTCACCTGGACTGAAACCTATAAGCAGCTTCTGCAAAATGGAACAGGGGCTGGGAAGTGAATCCATCGCTCCCATTAAAAAATAAATGGAGAGCCAGTGTTAATCCAGCTGTCACCCCTTAGGTTCAAGACCAGGGCAAGTGCCTGTCTATAGGACATCATTTACAATCAGCGCACAGAGGAAGAAGTCAGGTTCTAATGCACAGAATGACAGAGTTCTGGAAAAATTGGATCATTACAGCAAGATGAGTGTTGTGGGAGCTGAGCTTGGAATGATGAATACACTGTATTCTAAGAGCTCATTCTCCGCCCTGCACCATGGAAAATGGCCTACAAATAAGTAAATTTATAATAAAAGTATGAATTATATCCATGGATGTGCGAAGGGAGGGCTGGGGTCACCCCCCAGTCTGCAAATTTTACAGAGTGCTACAGCACTATTTAATTGTGGGGCACCAGCAATTTTTACCTGCCCCCCAAAAAGTCGCTGATTAAAAGAGTTTTTTTTTAAGAATGAGGTTTTCCTGCATGGCAAACGATACCTGTTTTTCTCTTTCCTGTTCGCTAGTGGCAGATCAGAGAGGCTGATTAGAATGTGAGTATTTCAATGTGTGTGTGTTCACTGTGGATGCAAACATGTGGCGGAGTGTGTTGTGTAAAAGTAAATAACTGCTGACGTCACACGTCAGTAACATGCAGCTGAAACAGTGAACATACCCCCCCACTGCTGCTTTGCAATTGTGCTGCCCCTTGTTCAGATCCATTCCCTGATACAGACTCTTAGGTCACATCTCAACAGTTAACTTTGCATTCGGTTACGCTCCACTTACAGTACAGACAACAGCAGGGGCTACTGTTAATCTGGGAAGGATCGCAAAATACTACTCTCACAGAAGTAGTGCAATTTTCTGTAATTAAGCTATTGGAAATATAGAATAAGAAATAAGAATCAGTAAGAAAAAAGTGATATTGGGATAAAGTTAGATGAAAATGTATATTTAATTGCATTGTTTTGCATACTAAAAAACCTATGGGAGATACTACATTAAAAACTCCAAAAAGGGAAATATTAGATTTGAAAAGTTTGTGGGAAAAAATGACCAAAACTTAATTAAAGATTATTATAATAAATAATTAACATAACAAAATCAGGGGGTGTGTGGCTGTGCTGGTTTGGTTGCTGTGTCCGTGATCAGATGGTTGTTGGTTCAAATCCCATAGTTGGTAGAATGATTTTCACCATTGTTCCCTTTAGCAAGACCCTTAACCTTCAATTACTCCTGAGACTGGCCGATCACGCTGTTATTGGATGAAATGTCTGCCAAATAAGTGCATAAGCTGATCTTTAAAAACTAAATGAGTCTAATATAGCATGAGTTTTGCAGCGCACAGCCGGTGGACACAGATGGGAACGATTTGGAGGGCCCTCTTTGGTCGAGCCCCGCAAACAGCTGCAGTGAGGCATTAGCGGACACCGTAAGCAGCCCCGTGACCTGCGCCCCAGGCCACTTCTCCCATCAAACTGACTCCAAATACCATTTGCTCAACTCCCTGGCAGAAGCAGATGTTTATGCTGGAGCTAATGAAACACATGCCCCTTCAAAGAGCATTAGCTACTGTGCAGTTATTAAAAATCGCCCTTAGTGGGGTATTTCCCTCACCTTTGATTTGTTTGCCTTTTAAAATATTTAATAAAGATGCATACATGCATACTTTAGAACTATTTCTAGCTACATTCATAAAGGGGCAGTTAGAGGGGCTTCGTGCTATCTATCCATCTAGGTTGTTCTGCTGGAAGCTGCCAGTTTTAATGTAAGACCTATTTCCACACACCAATCGTATCATCGTGCAGAAGATACGAGCACAAGCACTCCGGCGATATCTTCTGCGGAATGATACGATTGGTGTGTGGAGTTTGGTAGAAGAAAATAGTTCCTACATGAAACTGCTCACTAGAATGTCTGTGGATATCTTGAGTAACCGGGGCATGATTTCTGGTAAATGACGTCGCTATTTAATGTTTCAAATGTATTTTTCTTGGTGCTTTAAACACCACAGAAAGAATAATATTCATTCCCATTGTATTGGAGAGAAGCCTGACCATTTCTACGGACGATATCGCCAAAATAATTCTGGGCAGGTACTTAATAGCTTCTAAGTGAACTGAAATGTGAAATTGTGCTGGGTGAATTCACACCGTGTTCTTATTAAATATGGAACATACTGCACAGTACAATCACTCTGTAACCCTAAAAACAAATACGTCTGGTCCTGATTTTGAGAATAAGAGTAAGTTCAAGCTTGCTGGACTGCAAAGCATAATTGGAAAGTCAGCTAATGACGCAGGTCGGGATCCACTTGTTTATAAGATGCAGTTGTGCAATGACGGACATTTTTCCTAGAATAATTAAAGTTAAGGACCTCGTATTCAAGGGTACTAACATAATCCCAACCAAATGAGCCAGCAAAAATCTGATGAAGACGGACTTGTGTTCAACCTCTGAGTGTTTGGCAGTTAAATAAGCCATCCGCCGTCTAACCACCAATCCAGCACAAGATCGCTGGAGTGAATTCAACAGAAAAATAGTAAAATACCTCATTACAAAGTCACAGCCAATATTTGCATCTTTCAGTCCTTTCTGACACTTTCAATTCCTCCATATTTTCTTGATTTCAACCATTTATTTTTAGTGCACCAACTTTCTATTCAATTCAAGGGTACAAAGGGACACAATATTTTTTTCATTTTCATCCACCATCCACCAGACCGCCAAGTGTCTCTGGGATCACCTCGCCCCAGTTGCGAGAAGGCAGCATTCACATCGGCATCTCTCTGAGCGAGAGCTGCCAGATCGGAATTCAGGTCAACGTTCATCAAGTCAGACCAGGGATCGTACTCTGCACGCTTCCCCATCACCCGGATATGTGTTCCTTGCCACGTATATTTTTAGACAGTGTTGTTCCCTCATTCTGTAAGCTCGGGGGAGTCTCCCCATTCTACCTGGGACCAACAGAACTCATAAAAACGGGTCACTGCAGATTCCCAGCCCTTCCACAGTTGGTTGCAGTAGATGCCATCTTCTCTGTTGTCTACATGTGTTCGCTTCTCTTCTGTTCTTCTGTTCCTTAACAACGCCTGGTGCCATCAAAGGCCACCTGAATGAGATACCGAGTCCATGTGGACACATTCTCCTAAGATCTGAAGGCACAAAAAGATGCCTCTCTTTTGTGCTTTGTGGTTAACACTCTCTGGTTGTAAAACACTTTCTGTTCAGCAAATTGGTTCTATGTTTGTGAGATTGAGTATGGAAACTAACACAGCTACAAATTACAAAGTGTTAACATTAGGCAACTCTTTAAGTACTAGGCAGAGTTGCCCTTCCATGGTTAAGAAAATCAAGAGAAGTGCACTGATGAGGCTGCAAATCAATGGATGAAATTTCAACAGAATGCAAGTTACAGTCCCATCTTCTGAGTAAGGACATCAATCCATCCATCCATCTTCTGTACAGTAACTGCTTATCCTATCCAGGGTTGTGGGGGGTCTGGACCCGATGGGCACAAGGCAGGCAACAGCCCAACACAGGGCACACTCACATACCATTCGCTCACACACAGAGTTGGGAAACCCCATGGTGACAAATCCCAGTCTGGACTTTCACTCTCTGGACCTGAATTACCAAACTCTGCTCACACATGCATACATATGGGCAATTTGGCAACTACAATTAACCTCAGTGTGTAGGAGGAAAACCAGAGTACTGGAAGGAAACCCCATGGTGGCATGAGGAGAACATGCAAACTCCACACACCCAGAACCCTGGTGGAGACTTGAACCCAGGTCCCAGAGGTGGGAGGCAACAGTGCTAAGCACTGCACCACAGTGCCCTCCCCCACCAAAACAGGTATATCAAAATATCATCAGTGCTCAATAAAATTACGTTACTGTGGTAATTAAATCTGAAACCACACCAATTTAGATAAACAACAGAAATGTATATAAATGTTCTTCGCTATATATCATTCTCAAATTTCACATAATCAGAAATGCAGTACTGCAACTAATGTGACTTTGACAAGCAAAAATTCAAATAACAGAAAGGTGGCTAGGACAAAATATCTGACATGTCTGCAGAGACCTGAGACCGTTAAATGAGGTATATACTCCTACAATTAATCTCAAAACACTCCACTGAACACCAGCCACATCCAAAACATGCAAACAAACCACAAATCCATAAATAGCTGCTTTCTAGGCTTAGCGCATATTATTGTCTGGTGGAAGGGGGGGGGGGATCAATTCCTCATAAAATATTGAGCAATTGAGCTGTTGCAGTGGGTGCATGTTTAAAAACAGCCCATCCTCACATGCTAAGGACTGCATTACTTAAATATTACCCACTCGCACATAGCGGGAGACCACACACACCGACACATACCCACACACACACACACACACGTGTATGTTAGAGGGCGTCATAGCACTCAACACGCTATCACAAAGCTCCAGGTCTAACTACATATTACCCAAATCTTTTCATTTCTCTCCAGTCCACAGTGAAGTGCGCTTTAGTCATTAGGCTGCATAGTCACGAGGCCATCTTCCGTATCCTACAATCCACTTATAGGCAGTTTATGGGAAACAAAGCGTATCCGCATTCACACAGCCCGGTCACACACGCAAAGCTATGAAGACAGAGGACCCTTATTTCACAGCTTTGCCGCTGACTCACTCCAACATGTTTCTGTGTCTAACCACACGTACACGACAGTAACATCAACGGGGCACCTAAAACTAGGAACCACAGCAGTACTTCCGTCGGATAACTCCCGATGAAATATGCATCTCTGACTTAAGTGACCAGTTATAGGTTACATATCGCAACGAATGATGATTCACAGGAAAGATTTAATGAGGCAGCAGTCGCCTCTGATGCAGGCAGAGACACAGGGAGATGAAAGAGACACTTTGGCCTCGTTCTGCAGCACCCTGGTAGAAAGGTCATCTCCCACGAGGCACACACAAGAGGCACGGTATAAAACATGGTAAGTTTTACAGCTGGAAACTGTCACACTCTGAAACTGGGGGAGGGGGACAAGGGATGTTTAAAGGAAAATAAAACCGATAAAAAGTTACAAAATAACGTTTAAATGGATGTTGGGAAGATGCAGCCTGTACTACAAACACCAAGACCAGCTGGAGACGGCGCTGTGTGACTGGGGCAGGCATGTGGCCACGTGGGAAAGTCACGGGTTTGACCTCACACCCTCCTGAAATTGGTTTGCACCTGATCAGGCACCAGAGAGGTAGTAAAATAAAGAGTTTGGATCGCCTTTGAAATCTGCCAACCACCCGAAACTCATTTTGACAGCATGGGGGACGGGTGGGGGGTTGGGGGGAGGGGTACTCAATGAATCTTTCAAGTTTTTCATGGATACTGCAGCTGGGACTGAGGAATCGATTGCGATGAATCGAAACGTCACTGCACACCTATAGGGGAATGAGTCGATCTCAGCCATGCCTAGTTTGATGCAGACTACAGCACAGGGCTATTTCCATTCCATAGCTAAATGAATCCTTAGCGGTAGACAATGAAAACATACGTGCATGTGATTACCGAATAACTTATAATTAGCTGGTTATAAAGAATGAAAGGCACATAGCAGATAGGTACCGGGATGGATAAGGCTATTCTCTGTTTCCCAGGCTCAGATTTATCGGAGGATCCAGAGTTTGGCCCGTCGTGAGAACTGGAAATCTGCATCTAAGCGAGAGAAAACACAGCCACCTGTTTGATGAAGATTGTTTAAGATCATTTGCATCGGTTAAAACCCCTGAAATCGCTTTTGAAAAACAAAGTACGGCTGATTTAATCAAAACAAACCAACAATGAAAAACACAATTACCAAATTTCTGATAAATCAAGCATTATCATAATTTATCATATTGAATATTTGATTTTTGCAGCTAATAAAGTGAGGAGTGAGTGTTATTCCTCATACTGAAACTTAATATAAATGTTTGCAGGGGTTTCTCACTGCTCCTTGATGTAGAACAAACATTCGTCATGTTTAATTATTTAAACCGCGTTTGTCTATGTCTGAAACATCTAAACAATTAGCAGAAAGTCCAGTCTCCTACTGAAACACTGCAGCCTAAAAAACGTGCATGAATTACTTTGATCTGAATCGTTTGCCTTGTTTCGCTTGGAGCCATTGGGAAGAAAATAATATAGGAACTTGTTTACCTACCACTTGAAGAAAGACGTTTTCCAGTAATCTGTAATCAGGGGAGCTTTTGTTCAGCAGGTTGTTAGCAAACATCAAATTAGCGACCCGCAAGCTAAACACCACTGCCATCTCTCTGCTGTGACTCTCTGCGGTCATGGTCTTTGAAGATGGAGATGCATGTTCACGGGGATAGTCTGTCCCAGCCGGATCTCCACCGTCATAATCTATCGGGATAGGGATGCTGGTTTCAGAACGTTGCTCCTTCTCTTTCTGCCTGGTATCGTCCATATCCTCCTGTCCACAGGCAGTGGTGAGGACAGCAGAGACCACACTATCTGCAACAAATTTGGGAAGAATCAAGATGTCATATTGGCTATGTGCATTGAGCTATTTCCTCGTTCAACCATACCATATACAACCGATCCTAATCGGGGGACTTTCAATCAGTGAGGCAGAAGACCCCCATGTGCCTGAAATGAAATACTTCATGTACATTAATGATGGGATACTGTATTATATTCTTGTACCTTCATCTAAAGCAGTGTGTCTCAACCCAGTACTTGGGGACGTCCACACGGTCCAGGTTTCGGCTCCCTCCCTGCTCCCACCATATTTGAACAAAGCAAACAAAAACACCGAATGCCTGGTACCGATGTGTTGGAAGTTGGGAGGGAACAAAAATGTGGACTGCCTTTGGGTCCAAGAGGACTGGATTGAAAGGAACTGATATATTACCAATGTTCACCAATATTCGCACAAGAACTAACAAATATTAGTGATCATAAGTGATTTGCTCACCTGTTGTAGCATGTGAATCTGGGATTTCAGGGTGTTTTGACCTCAGATCTTGCCCTTGCTCTGCCTTGTCTGTGCCTTCGCCAGGCTGAGCTTCTGTGATTGGCTCATCCAGTGGCTGTGTCATGGTGACCAGCACAGTGCCAGATACATTTTCATAAAGGCCCAACACTCCGTCCATGAATGAAAGCACGGGGTGGTTGACGACATCACGACCCCTATCACCGACACCTGTGGAAAGGTCATATCCTCGAGTGATGGGGACACTCTCCGTCCTTGCCGACCCTTTGTTGCGTATTACAGGTCCGCTCGTGGTTTCCACACTCTGATCTATGTCTTCTTTCATGAAGACATCTGACTCTAGAAGATTCTCTAGATCATTCTCCTCCTGATGCTTTCCCACCTCCACAGAGGCAGGAGAAAGATGAGGTTCCTCAATTGCAGTTGCTGTGGTCTCTGTAGTCATCTTCATTTCACTGTGAAATTCCGGTGTTGGCGTCTGAGAAAACACACATTATGAAACATCAAAAAACGTCAGTTTAGCTATTTATTATTAACTTGTTATTAGAGGTGATAGAATTACCTCTTCTAACGTTGATCTTACTGTTACCTGCTCTTTCAGGATGAAAAGTGAAAAGAAAAATTATTTTACAACATCAAAAACTCTTGACAATGCTAAATACTGGGTGAAAAGCTACTTTCCACCTGAACAGTGCATTCACAGAAATATATACATATATATATCATCTGTCAAACGATACTATTCTTTTGGATTATATCCAGTACATGATGCAACATAAGGTCATTTTAAAGTTTTGCCTAAATCCTGCTGAGTGCATATTGTCGAAGGTTCCTAACCAGGTGCAAAACAGACAGAATGGATGTCCAACGGCAGTGACGTATCTTCTCTGAGGGCTTTGGTGACCATGTCCTTAAGATGAGTCTTAATTGTCATCTGGTCACCCAGACCAGAACCCGGTACCGTGCTCTCGCTGCCAGCTGTCTCGGAGACCAATGCGTCTCCGTCAAAGACAGCAGCGTAGCGGACGGAGACATCCCCAGACCTGCCAAGGAAAAATGACAGTGAAAGGTAGGAGTTTAGTCAAATCACAGAATACATGATGGAGGCCTTCTCCTGTTTTCCCCCAACTGACTTAGACAGGCAGGTGGAACATGGATGGATGCATGGATGGACGCATGGATGGACGCATGGATGGACGCATGGATGGACGCATGGATGGACGCATGGATGGACGCATGGATGGATGCATGGATGGCTTCCTCATATTTCTGCTTTCTGGTTGTGGATAGGTGGTGGGTGAGTTAGCATTGTGGCTCAGTGTTTAGCTTGGAGCCTCTAATACTTGTGTCTGCACAGGTTGTCCTTGCCGCTCTATTTTTTCACACCACAGGCCAAAGACATGCATTTAGATGAATTGGAGCCCCCAGTGTGTCAGGGTGTGTGTGCTCTAGGCTGCCCCTGCCCCAAGACATGCGATTCCTGCATCAGGCTCCAGGAGAAATACAAGCCTCTGTCAGACAGACAGACAGACAGACAGACAGACAGACAGACAGACAACCCACCTAAATCCTAAAACTCTAATCTCTTTAAATCCTGACAGTTTCTCAAGAACATGCAGCATCTGTCGAAAGAAAGTGAAAGTGAGACTTAAAACGAAGTTCAAAAGTTTTACTTGAATGAAATTAACTCCAGCAGCACTTTGTTGCAAATTGACTGCACACTGCAATGTGGCTTCAGGTATTAGATGTTACATCACTGGAGACATATGAATGGTAATTTGCAATCTATCATCTATGGTTCTGCCCTTTTCGCCCATATCGACCCTCAATCTCTGTGGCAAAAATGCCAGTGATCTCGATAGAGCCTTTACCTATTTGAAGCAATTATCCTAGTGCTTCAGAATTTAGCCCGACCACTTTAGCATAGCAAGATAATTTATTAAGGAGTCGGTAATCACTTTAATCATATGATATGCCAGCTAAACTTCAGTATTTACAGTAATATTGTTCCTTAAATTCTACAATATGAGCAGCTCTGCAACAGTACCAGAATACCTTAGTGATCTGCTGGCCTCATACAACCCCCCACGCTTGCTTCGTTCTCAAGGCGCAGGGTATCTGTTAGTACCCAGGGTAGAAAGAGCTACGGCAGGCTGCAGAGCTTTCTCCTATAGAGCTCCTCAGCTGTGGAATGGTCTTCCACCAGATATGCGGGATTCAGGCTCACTCTCAATATTCAAGTCTAGACTAAAAACACACTTGTTCAGTCTAGCCTCACCTAGCTATACAAAAAAAAATTGTTGTTATTAATCTTTTCTTATAAAATAGCTTTAGCTAATTGTTCACCCCCAGTTAGACCTGTAGTGTGAGGTGTAGAGCTGGGTGGGGATCGGTGCCACTGGCTTTGGATAAATTGAGCTGTCAGTCGGTCACTCTAGCTTCACAATCCCTTGTGGAATTGCAGTGCTGACGTTTCAGGGACTCCCCATGCCTGCATTCCCACTTGCCTCTCCCTCCTACTCATGTTACCATACCATATCTGCCAGAGCTTACACACTGCACTTACACACTGCACTCACCTAACTGTTAGCAATGCCTATAGTCTCCCCTACTTTGGTTAATTGCACATTTTATTTCCCCTGCTCCTCCTGGGTTGTGCTGCCCGGAGACCCCAAATTATCAAGATATCCTGCACACCCTGGTACATGCGACGTCTCCACTACGCATGACGTCCTTCTGTCCAGCTCGCCCTTCTGCCTGTGTCATCCTCCACGTATGCATGGCTGCCTCACTACTGGTTGGCCGGCGATCTGAAGGAGCGCCAACACCGGCTTGTCATCACCTCCCTGCTCCCCAGGTGTGACTCAAATTTTATGACTTAGACAGGGTGACTTGGCACTTAACCATCTCTCCGATTTGACTTTCCCTGCTGGGGCCAGGAGGACGGGCTCCCCCTTTGAGTCTGGTCCTTCCCAAGGTTTCTTCCTTCTCAGGAGTTTTTCCTTGCCACTGTCGCCTCTGGCTTACTCACTGGGGGCTTTGGGTGGGGATGCTGTAAAGCGCTTTGAGACGATGTAATGTTGTGAAAACGCGCTATACAAAAATAAATTTGTTGTTGTTAATCTTTTCTTATAAAATTATGAAATTCTGCGAAGTACTTTTTGATTCATTATTGATTCAGTTCAATTTAAGAAAAACATATTAACTTTTATATGGCATATCTCAATAATAATTTCTAAGTGTACTAAACTGAAAATGCATGTTTTTAAGTTCTTCTGACATCTTGGCAGATGGCAGCCTGCCCTTGGTGATTCATCACATTCTCTGCTCCAGTATATTTCATTATATGCTTTTATCCAAAGCAACGTACAGCTACATTTCAGCAGGGTCAACCTGTTTCTGCACTAATTGAGGGTTAAGGGCTTTACTTAAAGGGCCATTGGTGAGGTCACTCTTCTGACCCGGGGATTCAAACCAACAACCTTCTGATTGCAGGCACAGCAGCCTAACCTACTGAGTCACACACTGCCCTCCACTGTTACACTCAGCACACCTTCCTATTGCACTTCCATTCCCCCCATAAACCCGTTTCAGGTCCAAGCTCATTTACAATCCTATATCACAGCACCAATTTGGGAAAAAGAAAAATACAGATGCGAGTGTCACTCTGGATTAAACCAATAAAACACAGTGGTATGAGTTCCCCAAGGGCAGGACTGAAAGGCTATTACACTGGGCTGACATTAATACACATTATAAGCAATCAGTCTCCTCTTTCCTTTGAAGGCCATTCAGTATGAAACATCGGTAATCACCTGGTTTCGTAGGTTGAGGGTCAGCTCCTCATATCGGTCGCCGTGCGTTTCATTCGCCAGCTCACTTAAGGATGGATCTGCAATGGTGATGCTGAACTCCAGCACCTGGTCCTCAGGCTCCTCTGGTGATGGTCTGGAGAGCTCAGCTTCTGCCTCTTTATGGACCATAACCTTCTGCGAGGCAAGCGATTATGGCCACATGAGCGACGTCAGGATTATGGGACAATCCTGGCCTCGTTCGGGCCGATGTCGGCGAGGTTCTCACCTCTTCAGACGCTTGGCTGGGAAGGAGGAATTCACAAGGATTCGCAGAAGGAATTTCTATGGGGCAGAAATTATTCATTAAATGTGAGGACCTCGTTTAGCAAACTGAAGGTTTTAGCAGTAATCAATGCTCACCTTGGACTTTCTCGCTCGCTCTTTCTGGATCATGCTGTTTTGACCTGAGATGAAAGATTTTACAGTCAGATTGAAATCTGGTGGAAAAAATCAGTTTTAGATAAAAATTTAAATTTAAATGCAAAGACTGAATAACACTAAAGGTGTTTTCCCCATATCTTCTCACATTCCTGCATGGATCCATGCAGACTTAACCAGATCATGATCAATTTCAGAAGGTTTTTATTTCTTGCGCTTGATTTTTTTTGTGCTTATAGTCTGGGGATTGGCTCAGAGTAGGAACAGTAATGCTGTATTTCAAGTTTAGCTTCAATTTCTTTCACGCTCTGAACTATTGAAGTAACTTTAGCTAAAACATTTGAATTTTTAGCTATTTTAACTTTGAGCCAGTATAGCATTAGTCTGCACTCTTCAGACATCTCTGACAGTTTGTGATGGTTGAGTTTGTGGTACACAGCGAATTACCTTTTCCCGTATCAAATCCTTATCTGTATTCTGCAGCTGGCCCTTTACAGCCGATAGCTCTGCAACGCTAAAGCAAGCTGTGTATTTCAATTTTAGGAACTCAGTCCTTAATTTCCTGTTGAGATTCGGTAATGAAAATGGCCCCCAAACAACAGTGTGACGTCCCCTATAAGACACTGAACAAGCTAACGTCAAGATCGTTATAATACAACAGATTGTCTCTGTGTCTACCTTTCTCGGTCAATCTTATCTTGCACATTCACCGTCTGTAAACAAAGAAGATTGTGAGGTGAGGGCAGGAACACAATAGTACACGCAGTGCAAAAATGCAGATTTGTACCAACATAAAGTTTGTAGCAAGGTCAGCTCGAGAAAAGTTTCTGAATTTGTATCTTGATAAATTACCAGTCATCAGAATTTACAGGCACAATTGTGTTTTTCCAGCAGAGCGAGAAGGTTACAGTGTCCACCAAGTCATGCACCTTGTGCAGCATCTCCACGTGCTCCCGAGAGCTGCTGAAGCTTTGGAGCAGGTCGCTCATGCAGAGGGATTCCTGCTGACAGGTGGAGACCCAGCTGTCATACTCGCTGGTGCTGGGGACCCGGTCCAGGAAAATGCGGAAGGCCTCCCACACTGCCGTCTGGCAAACTGAGAGCAGAATCAGTCCCTCCCTCTCCATCGAGCTCTAAGGCCGGGGCCTGACATCTAGCTCTATAACCCAAGCAAATTCCCTGCTTCATTCAGCCGATACCATCAGATGCACAACTTCAAACAACTGACTCCAAACAATTAGCATGCAGCTAATTTTTAAACAAATGCTAATAAAAAATAAAAAAATCAGTATTATGTTTAATGACGATAAAAATAATATATGGTGGAAGTTCTGCACTGTGGTTCACTGTTTAACCATATACTGTATATTTGCCCCACAATCCTAAATAGGACAAGCGATTACAGAAAATGGATGGTTGGATGGATGGATGGATAGATAGATGGACTGTACATTGTATGTATTATTATTATTTTTTTATTAAATGCACATAGAGTTTCATTGTACATGTACAATAATAATCAAGATATTCTATTCTATTCTATTCTATTCTATTCTATTCAATTTATTCTATTCCTGGAGACTATATCTGAATATGTGCCCTTAACCACCACATTACTCCTGTGGCCCTGGTCGGTGTTTAGACTTTGATTCAAGGAAAATTCCCTACAGCATGATCATTTTCATAAACCCATCATCAATTATTTGAAGGGGGCGTGGCATCATTTTGGTCGATATACATCGCTTTATGTCCAGATAAGCGTCCAGAACAGGGGTCCACATTACTGAGCGATGAAGTTCTGATATTACCTTAATCTCCGCCGTACTCTCTCGTCAGACATTATAGAATGGCCTTGAATAATTTAACGGCGAGAATGTTCACATAAAAGTGCGATGTTCATGACGATCCCCTGGCTTGCATTGCTGATTGCGATGCACTGAACCATCAGACAGAGCCGGGTATCTCTATGCTCAACCTTTGAAATTCTTGAAGTCTTGTTTGGCTCGGAATGGGAGTTTTAAAGGAAGAAAGGCCCAGTGCACGATCAAAGGGAGACTTCTCATTACTTTAGAAGGCTTGAACGGATTTGTCGGTTTTTGAAACAGGACAGAAGAACAGAAAGTGCAAGAATTATCGAGATTCGTAATGTAATGGCCGTGAAGTCCAATCGAGCCAGGACCTCTTACCTCTCAGTTTGTAATAAGCTTGGTGACTGGCAAGGGCATCTTTGATGCTTTCTTGAGGACAGACTTTAACCCCTGTTTGGTAGATGATAGACCTCTTTGTTCTCCGTCTTCCCAGATCAAACATTCTTTTGACATTGAATTGTTTGGTCATCTCTGGCAGTTCTTCTGTGTGTTTCCGGCTGTCTCTGGGCAATGGGGCATCGTGGTCATTTAGATCTACAG